TATGTTTTTTATTTACATTATTATTATACATTTATTTTATTATCTTCATTTATAGAGAGAGAAAGTTTGTTTCAAATACAACTCATCGTATTTGTACAACCAATGCAACCCAATATATTGAAATATTTATGGAAATGATAAGAGTTCAATTATTATGATTTGAATATTTATGGAAGATGAATATGGTTCATTAATTATAATCGATACTTTATATTAGGAAACAATAAAAACTTCTATGAAATCACATGTTAATCAAATGAAATGGACGGTTGATATTGGGTTGTATTGGTTGCACAAATGTCAAAGGTTGTATAATAACGAACCTATATATATATATATATATATATATATAGGGTATATTTCTTTTACACCTTATGCATTTGTACAACCTTTGCAAACCAATTAATTGAGATATTTATAGAAATGATTGGAGTTCATAATAGTTCATTTATTATGATTTGAATATTTATGAAATATGAATATAGTTTATTAATTATAATTAATACTTTATATTAGGAAACAATTAATTGATTAAAAATTGAATGTTTGAGATGAGGATTGTATAGGGTGTAGGAATGGCAAAGGGTGTAGAATAACATCCCTCTATATATATATATATATATATATTATATAGGTCCATTAAAAGAAGAATTGATTAGTTTGTAGTAACCGTGAGATTTAATGTGAATCACTCGTTTGAGATATTTAAGAATATTTTTTAAAGAAGCTAAAAGGGTAATATATTAATTATATTTTTGACAACTAATCAAAATATTTAATTAAGTTTTTTAGAAAGAAATATTTTCTTTTATTTAATTACTTAATATATCAATTACCTAATATACATCGTATTTTAAAGACGTTTGTGAATCAAAGTGTATCATAGTGATAACGTTCACAATGTTTCACGTGTATCACAATGTATTTTCTTTGTTTTATGAAATGTATCATAGTATGCATTTTTGTTATTTTCATTGCTTTATGAAGGGTATCACATTGTGCATCTTGTATGTATATCTGGGTATCATGTGTGAATATAATTTGTAGGTATCACAGTGTGTATCTTATGTTCACATAAGGTTAATCGGAATAAGGTTCGCTGTATAAGATTCGTCAGAGAGAGGAAAGAGCAGAGATGAGAGAGGCTATTTATAAAATCCCTAAAATGTCTTAATTAATATTGTAAGTAAAAATTATCAAAATTATTAATTTTCTAATTTAACCTTTGATTTGTAGTTGAAATTGAATCTCACGGTTACCACAAACAAAACAAAACAGTTCTCATTTGATTAGACATATATATATATATATATATATATTATTAAAGTCTCATCGTAATTATTTAAAAAAATTCAAAATAGTGTAATTAACCTAATTTAAATAAGAAAAAGGTTCATAAAATTAAAAAGAAGATGTTCCATTTTGAATTATTAAGTTCTTGAATTTTTTTTAGTTGAATAAGTCGTTGAACTTTTTATGTTGAATGGTTAAATCGTTGCAGTTTTTTTGAATGATTAAATGATTGAACTTTTTAGAAATTGATTAATTAAATTATTTTAACCCAAAAAACTACTTGTATTTTTGTAAAAGAGAGAGAATCAAAAGATTTTTTGACCATTTTTTGGGGCTCCACATTGATGTCCCTCTTTTTGATCATTTTTTTTGTTTTTTTCATTTTTCTTTTTTGATAAATTCTATATATATTTCATTATATTGTTGTAGAAGAGAGAAAATCTAAAGACAAAACACAAATAAAAAGAGGAAGACCCCTTGGACATAGTTGTTCGAACGCGTCAACATTTGTTGACTTGGATGAAATAAGCTACTAAGAACCAGCGAGACACACTTTCTTCTGCAATAATTACAATGCATATCCATATGTGAATTGTACTACAAATAATGTCATTTTACAATAAGTGAAACACACTACTAGAAAACCAGGTATCAGCGACGACTATCAGCGAGGGAA